ACTTCCGGCCTACACATATATCCCATGTGCCTCCCATATACCTAACACCGCTCCGAAACCAAACTTGCACGGGGATATCGTCCCGAGTTTGACTCACACTCCCAGATGGTTAGCATATACGTACGCGCGTAAATCAAAGCACTCGTCTACTCATAAGAACGAGGCAACAATATACATAGTGCCTGTTTGGCATAAATTATTTACAGCTTATTTCAGCTTTCAACTTAATTTAAGCTATTTTGATGTGTTTGGTTTAGCTTATAATTTATAGCTTATAGCTTTGTGGAAGTCAGAAATCAGCTTATTCTTTGAGTGGGGCAGGAGATGCTTTAAGAATAAGCTGGAAATCAGCTTAAGCTGAAAGTTATAAGCTATAAGCTGTTTAGGCATAAGTTATAAGCACTTTCCCACAGCTCTACCAAACAGGGCCATATACAAAACATCTCACTCTTGAGAATAAACATAACAATGCCAAGCCTAAGGCATTCAAATAAATCTCATAATCCTCATTTTTTTTTATACACTTTTTCTCACCAACACTCAGATAAAAAAACAATCTATGAAGTCATGGTGGAGTATAAGGAATTTATTTATGGGTTCTTAATTAATTTTAATTTCATATAACCATGAGTGTGATTACAACCATAAAATAAATCCATATAAAAACTCTAAACTTGGCATACACAATTAATCTAATAATGAAATCAATCCACCATTTACATGCAAATACAAAATCAAACCAATATCAAATAAATAAAAATATTGAATCAATCCATCATCTAACCAATATCTATGGATTCTCAATTTATTTCAATTTCATATAATCATGAGTGTGATTACAATCATAAAATCAATCCATATAAAAACCATAAATCTTGCATATACAACTAATCAAAATAATTAAAATCAATCAATCATCTAAAAACCCTAAATCTTACATACACAACTAATCAAAATAATTAAAATCAATCAATCATCTACATGCAACGTACAAAATCAAATCAATATCAAGTAAATAAAAATAAATAAATAAATAAAACCAATGAATTAAACATAAATTAAAGAAAGTGAGTTTTATACTCACAATATTATTTTGAAGATCAAAGAAATATTTGGAGAAGTAATGAAGCCGCCAAAACAAAACCCTAATTTTTTTTTTTCTTTTTCCTTCTTTTTTTTTCCCTTGCCGCCGTCCCTATCTCTCTCTTCTTTTTTCTCTCTCTCTCTCTCTCTCTCTCACGGCTAGCCCTCCCTTTTTTTGGTTTTCTTTGTTTTCTTATCAACTCTAAACCTAGTTGATTACGTATTATATTATATTAAAACCAAATACTATTAGAACTTAATCAACTATTATAATATATAATACAATATAATTATAATATATATAAATATAAATATAAGATTAAATATATATATACATGTATATCTATATATAGTACCTCTTTTTTTTATATAACAAATATAAATATTTAAATATTTTGATTAATTATATATAATTAAATAACACTTTAAATTAATTAATTACCACATTAAATTCTCATGTGACCACACAATTAATAAAGTCAAAAATAAAATAAGATAATAATAATCATAATAATAATAAATAATGACTAAAGAAAATTAAGGTCGCTACAAAACCCTAATCCGGCAGCCTTTCTCTCTAAAACTCTCTCTCTCTCTCTTTCTACAAATACTCTAAGATCCAAGCATCTTTACCCTACTTCCTTTGAGAAAAATGTAGAGCAACTCGTGAGCTTCCATTTGATCCAAGAAAGTTTGAGTTTTGGGTATCTTCAAAGTTTCTTATTTTTCCTCTTTAAGCTCTATATTTGAGGTAAAGATATTCTACTCTTTAATATGAGTTTTAACCTAAGTGTTTGTCATCTTGTATAAATGGTGGAATTTAAGAGGATTTGGATGAAACTAGGGTTTGGGTTTGAATTTTGAAAGAGGGGTTTTCTATATTTGGCTCCATATATGTATGTGAGGTCTTGAACATGATGTTACTTGAGTATAATTGGTGAAAATGGGTCTTGGGGTTAATGTTTGGTAAAGCGAGAAACTTGCCCTAATTTGGATTAAATAAATTATTTTGTATAAATAATGGGATTGATGTGGGAAACATGAAATTGGACGGGTGTATAAATGAATGGTGTAGTTGGATTTGATAAATCACTCACCTATGAAAAATTTGGCAAATTATCTGTTTGATAGATTTGTTTATTTGTTTAGAAATATTTGTTTTGCACTATCGGTGGAGGATAGTTATGATTGTTGTGGAAACTGCATGATGATTAGGTGAATTGAAACTAATTGAAACTAATCATCTAAATTATGTCATTGAATACGACGGTTTGATTAAACGACTGAATATGTGATTTGGTTAGTCATTGTATATGATACTCTTTTAAATACATTGTATATGTATCGTTGTTTGGAATGAGATAGGGGATGTACTCCATTATTTGGGAGGAGATAGAGGATGGACTCCATTAAAAATTAAGTTGGCCGGAGTGTCTAGGGTGAAAGTCCCGAAATCTTATATATATATATATATATATATGGGTGCCGATTCCCTCGGATGTGATTCCGTAAAATGGCAAGAAAATAGAAATGTCTGAATAATGGTTGTTATTGACGTGTTAATAAATGAGTTGTAGTCTTGTCCAGGGTGAAAATCCCGAAATCTTATATATATATATGGGTGCCAGTTCCCTCAGATGTGATTCCGTAAAATGGCAAGAAAATGGAAGTGTTTGAATAATGGTTGTTATTGAAGTGTTAATAAATGAGTTGTAGTCTCGTTTTGAATTGTTTAGATTACAATGAACTATATCAATGAATTGATTTGGATAAGTGAATAGAAATGGACTGAGATATAAATGTCGATATTGATTGGTCATGGAAAGGGTGTAAGTAGGGTTGCAAGTATTAAACATTTATCTGATGCTGATATCTTAGTTAATTCTCATATATTGTTTTAGCATATCTCTACTGGGTTTTGGCTCACCTTACTTGGGAAACCATTTTCAGGTACAGGTGACATACCATCTCCAAGGGCATATTTTAAGAGGACGGGGCTGAAGGCTCTATTTTTGTTACCTATATGTTTATATGTTTTCTTCTTAAGCCGAGGGTTTTAATTGTAAAGAGCTTTTGACTCTCACTTTTGTTGTAACCAAGTTATCTCTTGGAAAAATGTAAGCCCGTAAGGTATTTATTTTGTTATTATTAATTAGTGTTACATACAGTAGCTTCAGAATGAACATTTAAGAAAGTGTAATGCATTTAATCTCTTTTGTAATATAAATTCTGATAATCTCTTTTGTAATGCATGAATGAAAGTAATACATTTCATATTATGCTTGTGAATCTCTTGAGTTGATTTATGCTATATTTTGAGGGCGTTACATTTTCTGCCTCATGGGTAGATTGCTCCAGAGAGCTGTTCAGAAATTCACCCAAAATTCGCTTGAGCGAGACCCAAAATCCGCTTGAGTAGCTTTCTGCCCAGAAAACCCATACGACTCTGTGAAGATCCGCTCAGGTGGCTTCCAATTCCCCATGAACGGTTTTGCCCAAAAATCAGAGTTCAATTTTTGCAATCCAAAACAAGTTCCAACGCTCAGGACTTGAAATTTTCAATCCGGAACAGTTAAGAGAGATTAAGTAGGAGTAGAAAGAAATTTCAATGACTCAAAACGATGAACAAAACACCGAAAAAAGAGCATACTACTCTACTACACAATACTATTCCAGCCCCAAGACTATGGACATCACATTTGATAAGAGCGAATTATACTAACAATCCCTATAGTTTGGGGCTCGTATCACTTTAGTCTCTGGCTTTTCAATTGTAACATATCTGATCCTGAATTTTGAATCTTGTTCTAAATAAGGACAATTGAAAATATCATTGTTTAATTTTAAGGGAAAAATCGTCAATTTGATAAAATATAAACTAATTTGAAAAAAATAAATGTCAAAAAAATATTTTTAAATTTTAAAAATTATTTCTATCTACCAAAAACAAGATTATGTAAAATTGATAAATCTTTTAGACATTTATTTATTTATTTATTTTACAAATTAATTATTATTATGTGTTTGGATGATGATCAAATAATGGGTAGTTGTTAGGATTTTAATGTATAATTGATATATTTAATATATGAAATGTTTTTAGTTTTGAATTTTTTGATTTACTGGATTAGTTTAATAACGATATCAAAGTTGTCACCATATTTGACTTTTGAAAAAATATAAACTAATTTAATGAAAATAAAAACAACCATCCATTACATGATCATTATCCAAACATATGATAAAAATTAATTTGGTAAAATATAATAAATAAATGTCTAAAAGATTTATCAATTTTACATAATTTTATCTTTAGTGGATAGAAATAATATTTAAAAATTCAAAAACATTTTTTTGACATTTATTTTTATCAATTTAATTTATATTTTATCAAATTAACGATTTTGCTCTTGAAATTAAGCAATGGTATTTTCAATTGTCCTTATTTAAAACAAGATTCAAAATTTATGATCAAATGTGTCACAATTGAAAAGTTAAGGATCACAAATCCCAAATTAAAGGGCCATTAGTGTAATTTGCCAATTTAATAATGTGAACTAAAAAGGAAAGTGGTGTACAATTTCAAAGAGTAATGGTTATAAAACAACGAAATTTCACTGTAAAGTGGTATTACGGTGGACCTCTTTTTAAAAAATGTAAAATTTTCTACATTAAATAAGAAAATTTATGCTTTCGTTTTTTGTTGTCAATTATCAAACAACACAAAAAACTTGTTTGTTGAAATGCTTCATAAAACTAATCTTTGAAAGAAAAAAATTGCTTTGTGAGAAAAAAATCACTAAAAAGCCAATTCCAAACCAACCCCAAATTCACAGCCTTTTTGTGATGGTTCCACAGCTTTCCCTCTAAAATGAGCAAAACTTTGTGAGAAAACATGGGAACTGCCTTGTGGGAAGTTAGGGAATGGATTTTCTAGCCAGCCAAACAGAGAAGCTAGAACACCGGTCAATAAAACTTAGCAATGCTGAGTGAATCCTTCAACAGTTTTACTAACCATATCATCACAAAACTCGATTAGTTGTGATGCATCTCCTACAACTACAATCAGAAAAAGTTGTACATGTTTACCACAACTTCTTACACATTTCACTGTTAAAATTCAAGATATACAGAGCCCAATGAGGTCGAGAAAATCACCTCACAAGAGCCAAGAAGTAACCAGCATTAGCATCCACTTCAGTATTAACTCTATGCATCCCCAAGCTTTCGAATAGAAACACGACGGTTAAGGTTTAGATTAAACCTCCTCATCCACCATCTTCCACATTTATAGCTGATTCAAAGAACGTTACCTCTCATGTGGATGGAATATCTGACGGTGCACACGATCCAGCCCTTAGTTGGATCCGGCTCATGCTAAGCTCCATACTTCTCTGAACCATGTCTTGAAGCAACCTCTTGGCGGTTTCGGCAGCTTTCTCCGCTCCGTCTACCCGTGTGGCAATGTCAAAAACAATTCTCTCCAAAACCGAGGAAGCCAATATCTTTTCCGGAGGAGAGTCCCTAAGTAAGTCCAAAAGCGTCCGAGCTCTCTCCTGAGCTTCTGGTGTACCCTCAACGGTTAATCGCAAAAGGCCCGGTATTGCACCTTCTTTGAGAATGAGTTCCCGATATTTGTCTCGGCAACTTTGGCATAAAGTGAGTAAAGCTCCGACTGCATGTTCGGTGCTCGCAAGAGATCCATCTTCGACTGTTTCGACCAAGGTTAAAATCCCACCTTCTGAACTTGAAATTGCCAACCGACCTTCTTTGGTTTTGGAAAGTATTTCAAGTAGGACCGTAGTTTTCTCGGCAAACTTGGAATATTTCTTGCATTCTTTGAGAAGGTTGATGAGAGGGGAGACTGCTGTAGCGTCGAGGACGAGACTGGGGTTCTCAGAATCTGTGGACAGATTGTAAAGGGCAGTGACAGCATCAACTCTTCCTTGAACACTTCCCGAGCTAAGGATCTGAACGAGAAGAGGGGCGGCTCCGGAAGCTACTATTGTTGGCTTGTTGGGCGTGGCAGCTGAGAGTGACAAAATTGCGGCGGTTGCTAGTTCTCTTAAACTGCTGTTCTGGAGCTTGAGGAGCTCAACAAGAGGGGGGATAGCACCACATGTCACTATCCTGACCTTGTTTCTGATAATACATGAACAAAAAGGAATGAATGACATCCATCAACCACAGATATGCAGCTCAACACCACAAAAAGGGTAAAAATAATAAATGAATTGGCAACACTAAGGTAGTAAGTTGACTGCAAATAATTATAGGCACCAAACATGTATAAGGAATAAGTTCTATATCTAATTAGGACAGCACCATCATGAGAGGTATCAGATTCACAAAATAATATCATGACAAGGACAAGATTGAAATCACCCTTACTTTTTCCTCATTTTTCATTATTTCATAATTAATGACTGCTGCAAAAACTCAAAGTGACTTCAATGTTGCGTGCCTCCATTATCTAAATATTTCCTAGAGCTTCACACATTTTAAAGTCCACTTTGACCCACACATGGGAGCTCTCAGGATATGTTGATGCTTCATAACTTGACAAGAATACATGCTACCTTTATATTGGTGAGTGGTGGAAATATTGTGTAATACCATTATGATTGCCATCCTAAATTTGCAAATATTTGATTTCTTTGCCTCTCCTTTTTGCTCTATTTACCTTATTTGAATTTTCATTTTTTTCCCCCATGAAGAATACAAAAGAAGCTATGGCCTTCAGATGGACCGTTTGGGAGAAAAACAATCATGTGTGATTCAACATCCATGGAGACTTTTAAGTATTATGAAGTAGAGTGAAATTTTGGGAAGGCCTTCTTAGCAAAGATGTAACTATCAAAGTCATGCCATGAAGCCAGACTCTACCCAGTCTTAAAACTCATGAATCAGATAAAGATGTAACTATTAAGTCAAAATTCCCTTCAAGGGAGGAAGCTTCAATGCTGTGTCAGGTATTTAAAAATACCGTATAACCTCCTCACCCTGATTTTGTGCCAATTATTTTGCATTACGCATTTTAATACTATCAACAGATTCAATTAGTATATATTCTTTCCAATCATTGATGTTTTGTTCCTCGTTAAAAGAAAAAATGGGAAGTGTATCAAGAAAAAGTCAAGGCAATGAAAACAAGAAACATAGTTTTTAACACAACAATTATTTTAAAATTAAATAAAACTGAAACACACAAGATTATGGAAAGCAAGCTGGCCAAACCAAAGCAATACCACATATTTTAACTATTTTAAAAGAGGAAAAAGTGCATTTAAATGGGAACAACTTTAAAAAATTGCACTTTCATGGAGGTGCAAGTGAACATATGTCGGGTGCAAGTGAAAGCTGTGACATGGGACACAGCTCTTACTTGCTCTGACTTGCATCTTCATGAAAGTACAATTATTTTAAGTTATTCTGACTTAAATGCATAAATTTGTATCTAAAAAATGAGTTCATATTCATCTTTCAAATTCGAGTGACTCATATTCAGCTTTCAAATTACAGATCAGACTTACCCAAAAGAAAAGAGATAGTACCAGAAAAAATTCAAGTGACTCATATGAAGCTACACCTCCATTTAGGCATTGGATTCTGCTTATCTTTCCAACCCTGTAAAGCAAACTTTGTAGCCACAAACCCAACTATTAAAGACAACCCAAACAAAACAAGCTTCACTATCGCAATCGGAACACAATCAAGATCTTCAACCACTCATAAACCCCTACAGTTCTCGGCGTGTGGCTCAGCAATAGATCGATTGTGGAAGTCGCGGGGACTTCAAGAGGCCTAGCACCAAGAAACTCAAATGGGTTCTCAATCCAAAAATGGGTATTGTTTGGAGGATCATTTTGAGTTTTGGGTCGATTTGGAAATTGGTTGAGAGATTCGGAACTCTGATCGACAGTTATGCTCACTTGGGACTCATCCAATCGCCACAGTTGGAAGGTTGTGGTGGAGAAGAGGGATAAGTTGGATGGGTTGTCAGAGACATAAAAAAATAAATAAATAAAAAAAGATTCGTTTTGAATGCACTATAAAGAGCATTACAGGAAAGAACTATAGGGAATCCGAACTCTTTACTTTTACCAGGAAATGACGTAAAATGTTTTATGCTCCGTTTGAATTTGTGGAGTTGGGCTAGGTGGATTTGAAATTTTGAGCCCAAAAACCTACATTATTTGTTTGGATTACTAATTGATTTAAGGAACGAAACCCAAACAAATCTCTATGTGGATCTTAATAATAGAATCTGTTGATTTTAAACAATAGGCATTATTTCCTGAATCCACTCAACAGTCATTTTTAGCGCTCACAAGAGACCCAACAGTTGATTTCTCCAGCTCACGATCTCTATCAGCAACAAGCCCTCTCCATCAAAACCCATATAAGCTACCACTATCTCCAGCCTCTCCTCTCTATTCTCTCACTCCCCCTTAAGTTTCTTTGCAAGATCCAAACAAAACTCTTAAATGATATAATAGGCACACGCGCACGCGCGCGCACACACACATATATATATATATATGTGCATATGTGCGCATATGTCTTGTGTTCAATGTTGTGTGAGTAATGTAGTTCAGTATGATTTTCCTATTTTAGTAACTGCATGCATGCTTACATGACATAAACAAATATGTGTATACATGCACACATAACATTTTTCAGGGGTTAAGCGTACACGTATTTGTATGAAATTCTGGCCATCATTTGCATGAAACCATTTTTCCAAAACCTAATCTTTTTATTATCTAATCAATTTTTCAAAACCAAATTAGACCCGGGTTCCTTCCACAGAATTGATGTAGCTTGTTTGCACACAAACCCTAGTTCCCAAACTATTCAATTCCAATTCCCAGCATAATCAATCAATTCCTTTACAAACCCCCAAACCCTTTCACAAATAAAGGTCATATATATCTGTTTTAAATCTAAATCTTTCAATTTTTCTAGTTCACAAGAAATGAATTCATTACTTTATAGGTCCCTCAAACAACAAATTCCTAATAATTTAACAAGCAATTCATTTCGTTTCCATCCGTTTCTTGGCATCCAAACAGAGAGAGAGAGAGACTGACCGTTCGTTTCGGGCGGCGAGATTGAGGAGGGCAAGGAGGGAAGCTTGACGAGCGTCGAGATTGGGAGAGAAGAGCATAAAGACGAGAGGTTGTATGACTCCGGCGGCGGCGAATTTGGAACGAGTCTTGACGGAGGACTTTCTCACAAGCTTCCTGATATCTCTGGCGGCTTGAATCTTCACATCCAGATCGCCATTGATGAGCTTCTCTGACACTTCTTCAATTAGGGTTTGCTTCTTCTGATTCCATATTTCCTCTTCCTTCTCCATCACTGCCCCCTCCCCCATCCCTCTCTCTCTCTCTCTCTCTCTCTCTCTCTAGACCTATACAGAAGAGAGAGAGACTAATCTTTTTTACTATTCTGTGTTTGGTTACAGTGAGTCCAGTCCAGGACAAACACAAAAAGCAAGATGGACACCATTTATGTTCGTGTCCGCGACTTACCCACTGTCTGGAGTGAAGTCGCGCAAAATATCGCCAAATTTATTAAAATTGTATTAATTTGTATTGTTTTATTTGTTAATTATGAATTAAATTTTAAAATTTATAAATTATTGCCTAATTCGTTAAAATCGTACTGATCGGTGTCAATTTGTACTGCTTTATCCATTAATTGCAGATTAAATTTTAAAATTTATAAATCACTTTTGAATCGTTCCGCTTCACTATAATTAATACATATATATATATTTTTTAACTTATAATGAAATATCAAAGTTAAAATAAATGTGAAAAAATTTAATATGTGAAATTTATTACAAATTAATAGTTATATATATGAAAAATATTATGTAAAATTAGTTTATGTTATATATATATAAAAAATGTTTTGCAAATTAGTGGTATATATTATGTAAAGATTTAATAATTTGTTAGAATATTTTTTAATTTATCAATCCGTCTAAAATCGTTCAAATTACAATTTGTTAATTTGTCAATCTGCTAATCCGTTATTCAATTTATAATTTTACTCTAAAACTGTTTGAATCGCACCATGCACAGCCCTAATCAGGAGTGTAGATTGAATCTCCGCTTATGTACAAATTTATGACTTATTGTTATATATGATTGAGTGACCTTACTATATAACATTACTCTCTGACGCCTTTAGACTTTTAACATCAGTGATCCCTAATAAGGCCTTTTTACGATGAGACCTTTTTTATTTTATTTTTCTTCTTTTTTTTTCAGATTCTTTAAAATGAAGTTTATAATTTTTAATTCAATTTAGGAAGCGCACCATGCACATCCCTAATTAGGAGTGTAGATTGAATCTCCGCTTATGTACAAATTTACGATTTATTGTTATATATGATTGAGTGATCTTAGTATATAACATTACTCTCTGACGCCTTTAGACTTTTAACATCAGTGATCCCTAATAAGGCCTTTTTACGATGAGACCTTTTTTATTTTATTTTTCTTCTTTTTTTTTCAGATTCTTTAAAATGAAGTTTATAATTTTTAATTCAATTTAGTAAAAAATGATTTAAAATTTAAGAATAATAACAGGGCCACGAGTTTGTGGTTTAATTTTAAATTTTTAACCCGAGATTGAGATGGGATAAGACTTATATATATATATATATATATATAGAGGGCCATTTTAAATTTTTAACCCGAGATTGAGATGGGATAAGACTTATATATATATATATATATGAATAATGATTGGGACCCCCTTTTCTCCACCCCTTTTGACCCCCTTTCTTTTTTGATTAGTCACTTTTTCTTTTTCTTTTTCTTTTTTTTCTCTTCCTCCAATCACCAACCACCACGTGTGTGCGGGGTGGTGAGGGTTGAAATTTGAGGGTTTCTAAATCACTGCTGTATATATATAGAGGGCCTTTGCATTTTCAATCGAGACAAGGGCTAGGGCGGGGTGCACTAGGAACGGAAAATGTTGTTAGGATAATTTAGAAGGATTAAATCATTAAATATATATATATATAAGTTTACTTTTTCAATTTAATAATTTGTATTAAATATTTAGTTAATTAATAATTAAAAAATATATGAGAGAAATTAAGTTTCGTTAATTGATTATTACATCATTAGATTTGATAAATAAATTGAGCTTTTGAGCTAAAATAGCGATGTGCAATTGGAAAATATGTAAAATAAGTGTAATAATTTAATAATTTAATTATAATTATATTATATTTTATATATAAGTCGCAAGAAAAAATGTACCAAGTAAGGAACACGATGAGGAAGCTAAGAACTATTGTCTAAAAGTATTTTTAATAAAAAAATTAAATAAGTTTGGAAAAATAATTTTATTGAAAATTGCAAGAAAATTTTCACTTTATGTTAAGATTTTATTCAATTTTTAAAAATTTTATGACATATATTTCACATCAACTTAAAATATATTTTTATGAGTTTTCTTGCCTTTATTGGGGGGGGGGGGGGGGTTTGAACATTCATTATTAAGTTTTTAAGGGATTTTAGAATTTAGACTAAAATGTCTTGAAAAATAATAAATTGAATATTCATTGAAAAAAATATCACTAAAGATAAAAAAAAATTAATTAAAATGTATTTTGTCTTAAAAGTTTAGAATGTTTAAAAAAAAAAATTAATTAAAATGTATTTTGTCTTAAAAGTTTAGAATGTTTAAATTTATTTAGCATTAGAGGTGGGTACACATTGCATGTATATAATTTGTAAGTAGATTAATAATTATAACAGTTATTTAAAGTAATTTATGAAAACTATTACATTCTGGAAACATTTTTAGAAGAAAAAAAAAATGTGATATGTATCCTAAGAAAAGTATTTACTTTATATATTAGTATAGATAGTATAAATGATCATAAAGGTAAATTATAAAAAGTATAATAAGTTTCATAATTTTAACGTAATTACATTGTCATTTTTAGTTAAATTAAATGAATTAAAACTAATACAAATGTTTCAAAAATACAAAAATAAAAAATGTGAAGTATATATATTTTTGTGTAAAAGAAACAACATCATTTTTTATTCACATAATTAATAAATTATTGATAAAAAATTAACTATTATACAAATTAAAATTACAAAAATAAAATAATTTAATTATATCAAAATTATAAAATTTATTATATTTTCTTCTTGTGAGTATTGTAAAATAAATAGTTGGTTGGACTGTATAGTCATGGGATTGCAAATATCTGTCATCATGTGAGACCACATGATAGAAAATTGAGGGGTGTCACCATGCTAGATGATGAGAGAGGTCCACATGCAAATTTGCAATGGGTGGCCCAATGCCAGTGTAGTGTAGTGTCTTGACACGAAAAATAAATAAATAAATAAATAAATAAAAAATAAAATAAAAACTCGTTTGTGTATTTAAGGTTAGAGTGATTTGACAATCACAAACGACTGAACATTGTGAAAAAGGCCACTTAGCAAATCAAAAACTGTCAACCAATTAATTTTTATTATTCTATTGCAGGCAACCAATTAATTAATGGATTAAGGTTTTATTTTGCTATGGCTAAAAATTTTCATCTTATTGGTGTTTGGCAAATTGATTTGTGGTTAAGATAGTCACAAAAGATAAAATAGGTTATTTTAACTACAACAAACAAAACATCGCATCCAATTCATAATCATTACACTCTCTCTCACAAAAAAAGTCAAAAAAATTGAAAAACCAAAAAGCCTTTTCTGAATCAAGCTTTTTTGCTCAAGCTAAATAGCCAAAAAAGTCAAAAAGCAAACCCACTTCTCAAATGGATGCCTAGTTGGGTTAATTGTACTAAAATATTTGTAATTATTAACAAATATCACTATATTCTTTCATTTATGTATCTGTATATTTTGACATTTTTAATTATAAAATGTGTCACTTTCATTCTTTATAGACCATCTCCAAACGGGGTATATTTATATAATTTTTATAGTTATAGGGTTAAAATTTTCATAGATAAAAGGATAAAGTTACATTCGCTAATAATTTAGGGATTCTTGATGTAATTAACTCAAAAATATTAGCTCAAAACCCCATTTTAACCATTGTAAATAACCATTAAAAAAGTCAAAAAAAAAACCAATATAAAAAAAAAATTAGTATTTTTAGCTTCAAACTTTTTGTAAGCTTATTTTTAGGCAACTCTCTCAAAGGAAACCTAATTCAATTGATTAAAACTCTTGCACCTTCATAAGAGGTCAGTTTTAACTCTACTACTCCCCTGTTGATCTTCTTTTTCACTTTTAGGGTCGGATTTGTATTCCAATGTACTAAAAAAAAAAATTTAAAAATCTAACGTGTTAATATGGTACTCTCGAAACATTAAGATAAATAATAACGAAATAGGTAGAACTGACTTTACCCATCTCGATCAAATTGGTGGAAGACAAGGTTCACTATATTTATCTCCTTTTGATTTCTTGTATTTGGTTTGAAGAATTAGGATTATTGATTGTTCATAAGATGCATTTGAATCATATATTCAAAATTTATTGTTATCACAAACAAAGATTTTCTCACATAATATGGGTAAAAAGTAGCTTTAGTTTCTTCTTTAATCGTACTCATCAGCATATAGATAACATGAAAAGAGACAACAAGATGATGTTCAAATTCTCATCTAAGAGATGAAAACATTGTCCATTTTTTCCAGGAAAGTGTTTTCCCTAGAAACAAACACTAAAAGTGACGAGAGGTGGAGGACGGTTTTGCATTGGAATTGCTGCCAGACTTTTGGTGATTCAGATGTAAGTCTTTGTCACAGGAACAAATCCACGACATTGTAGGAACCAAGTTTCCATTAGAATAACGAAAATCATGTGATTTCTTCGGATAAGATTATAGACATATATTCCATTGTTTTTGATGTATTTTAATAATTTTACAGACACTAAATAAATAAGTAAATAAAATAATGATAGTCGTACACATCTGACTTTGGCACCTGTCACTGTTGCACCAACTTATAGTATCTAGTTTGAGAATTCTCATTCTCTATCCAAAATATATTGTTGTTCTATTGTGACATAGAAATTAGGAATGGAATACACATGTATCGATAAGATTTTAAGAGATTTATTAATGAAAAATTATAAGTGCATAGCATCGGATACAACCTTCTTACATGATTAGATCCCACAAAATATGTAAGTCGTATCCCATGTAAGAACATTATGTCTGATTCTTTGTTCAGATTCTGTATACATACAAAAACTATTTTATTGGATCCACTTTTGAAAATCTAATATTTCTATATCTAAATTTGTGATCGATTTCTAGGTTGGTGGACTTGCATTTGTTTCAGCAAATCAATGATTTTTGTTCCTCCTTTTTGGAACTTGTTTTGTTAAATGCTATGTTGGGTGCTGCTCATATGAGAAATGTATCAAAAATCAAACTATACTTTCTGATATTAAAAAATAATAATTATAAATATAAAAAGAAAAAAGAGAAAAGAAAATGTGCAATAAACAGGAATTATCAACATGTTCTGTTTGAATTTTTGTAAATGCTCAAATCTAGACCCATCAAAATAAAAGAAAGCATTCAACACATCAACAACAAAACAAAATAAGCATCAATCGTTGGCACCCTGAATCTCTCTGATCACAGTCAGCATCGGCTGACTTTCCGAACCCTTCTTCTGATCAAATCGAATCCAAGTCACATGACACACACCTGCGTTACACTTCTTTATTTTTTTTTGGAGTCAATTATGGTTGGTATAGTGTCTGTAGAATTACTGTATACATTTTGCAAGAAGAAAAGTGTTGAAGAACAGGTGGGGGAGTTCTCACTTCCTAACCAAAAATGTTGTTATTCTACTGTGAACATAGAAATCAGATATAGAATACATATGAATCGTCAAGATTTTATAAGATTTATTAATGAAAAATTGTAAGTGCACAGAATCGGATACAACCTTTTCATATGACTAAGTCCCACCAAATATGTAAGTCCTACCATATGTAAGAATATTGTGTCTGATTCTTTGTTCGGATTCTGTGCATGTACAAAAACTGTTTGTTTTAATTGGATCTAGTTAAAAATCTTGTATGTCTATGACTGATTTTGTGACCGATTTCTATGTTAGTATACTTATTTGTTTCAAACCCATCAGCTAATCAATGTTTTGAGTTGGTTCCTTCTTTTTGGAACCTGTTTTGTTAAATTATATGTTGGGTGCTTCTCACATGAGAAATGCATCAAAAATCAAACTACGTACTTTCTGATATAAAAATAATAATAAATAATATTTTTTTTTATAAAATGTGCAATAAACGGGAATTGTCAACAATATGTTCTTTTTGAATTTGTGTGAAGACTCAAATCTAGATCCAAAGTCTACAACATACTTGAACGCAATAGATAATAATGAGTTGCTCTGGACTAACCCTGCATTTGCGTTTTGATTCTTCTTCGAACTTTTTTTCAACAACATATATGTGCTATTATTGAATCATGAAAAAAACCGGAAGTCTAGTTAATCTGTACAGAGAAAAAACTTTAGATTAGACCCATCAAAATTCAACAACACATCCACACACACACCAAAAAAAAAGCATCAATCGTTGGCGCCCTGAGTCTCTTTGATCACTGTCAGTGTCGGGTTCCATGTCACCATGTTCCGTACCCTCCTTTTCCCTCCTCCATGCTGACTTTCCGAGCCCTTCTTCGGATTCTCCTCTCCACCTCCCTCCTTCTCCATTGAAATCGAATCCGAGTCATGCTTCGTATCAATGCCAAAGAATCGCACGCGACGAACCCGAATACCAGTTTTTTCATTACTTTTCAACGTTGCGACGCTTGAAATACCAATATTACTTTGTTGGAAGGACTTGCTAGAAAAGTCATCTTTCTGACGGGAAACAACCTCAACTGAGACATCAACGGAAGATTGGGAGACAAAGGAGTGAGTCCAGCGCTCTCCGCTGCTGGGCTTCCGGATTCTTTTCTGGAGCTTCTTCAACGTCTGGCGAGGAACAACGAAGAATTTTTGACCTGGGACGAGGATCTCTTCTGGCCGGACCACTGCGTCCCACGGCCGCCGGAAAACGTCCGGCCGGGCAAGTATAAAAGAAGGATACTTAGCCGTAATCCGGTTTGCCGGGATGGCCATGTAATAGTTCTCAACACGGCCACCAGCATGGATGATCTTCAAGGCCGAAGACCTCTCTTCTACTGCCGGAGTGGCGGCAGGTTTTGCCGGAACTAGGCAGCGCGATGATGACGGTGGCGGCTTATGCTTCCGGATGCCGAACAATTTGTGTAACATGTTTGGAGTGGCAGTTTTTAGCAGTTGAAATATGTAGAGCAAAAAGTGTATACATACAATCAAGTACGAGAAAAAAGCTTAAATTCTTTATAGATTCAACCATCGATGGATTCGAGAGGTGGCTTTTTTAATGAGCCAACTAATATTATAATAAAAAATATAATATTCAGAGGAAATTTGAAGATAAAATCAAAGCAGGCAAATTAGACGGGACTCCAAAGAGCAGGCCATGGATTTTTGTTGTTTTGCTTTTGTAGGTATGTTTTGGTTTCCAACAGAAGAACAGGCCAACAGTTTTTTTGAAAAACATATGCCCAATTTTCATTTCACAGACCACACCACTCACATTAACCATCACAGAAAGGCAAGGAAAAGAAAAGAAAGGAACGGAAAAGAAACAGATTCTGAAAACTTCCCTCTTATTGAATTGACTCACCTCTTTGTGTCTTGATCGGTATAAATGAACTTCCCTCTGATTTAATCGACTCACCACTTTGCATCTTGGTCGGTATAAATGAGTACGTCTCTAAATCATACCCTGCAGATCGGATATTTACTAATTCAGGGAGGTAAAATAAATTAGACGTTAGAACAGTAGAAATAATATTTGATTTTTGTTGGATCAGGAACAATTTACAATCTCCAGGTTCAACCAAAAAATAAATTGAGAAATAAAATTTCAAGCGAAATCTCAAAATCAATTGGAATAACTGAAGGAGCTTTTGCTTATACCAAAATCAATTACAACAATTAAAAGTACATCCTTTCTTGCTATCAAAAATCACTTTACAGGTAAGACAGCGAAAGACGAGAGAACAAAAAACAAGAACCAGAAAAATCCTCTAAAAAAACCCTAATCTTACCTTCCAAAGTCCTATAAAAAAAACCTCAAATCAAAGGGAGGGGGAAAAGAACAGTAAAAAAGTTTCTCAAAGTGGACATTTCTCTAATAAAGTTGGAAATTACAAAAATGCTTCGCCATTGTGAGCGGAAAAATGGTAAAACCACATACACAGCAGCAAGAAAGGGAAGACCTGAACATACCCCTCTGATCAACTAACTTAAAATGGTTGCAAATCAGTTACAGTAGGATTTCACCTTAAATATGCTCCACCCAATCAAATCCTTCTATAGATCGACACTCAATCCAGGCCTATCTTGTACCTTTTCGTTGTTTTTGTCCATTCCAAGTCCCAAAAAAATCTCTATATTGGGCATTGCAGTTCTTGATTTAGCTTGTTCTGCAAAAAAAATAAATAGCTCCTTCCTTCAGTAGTTATTGCGCCAGTTAATTTGTGCATGCTGAGGTTGCTGATAAACACTGGATGTGGGTCCCACAATATCGGCAGCTGAAGCCATGGTCTGAGACTGTTGAAGAAGAGGGTGAACGGTCATTGCTGAAACTGCTTGAGCGGGGTGATAGATACTGGTGAAGGTGCCATGGCCAGCCTGCGTTGGGGCAAAAGTCACTTGACCCTGAGGAAGATTGTAGAATGAACTAGGCTGTAAGCCAGAAATGTCTCGGGCCGGCGCAGCGATCCATCACCAGGCTGAACCTTCACTCTGCCAGAGAAGGAAAAAAAGGAGGGAACAAATTTACCACTACTGAAAAATAAATCTTCTTTCAGTTCTAGAACTTAGTTGGAAATACCTTAAAATATGCAAACATATACGTGTATGAAGAGATGGAAAAAAATGGCAAAATCATTGAGGTAACAGCTTGCATCTTCTTTCTTTTCTTTTCTTTTCTTGGAGAGAAGAGGAGGGGTTGTGGTTAATTTAAGAAGCACGGACACTACCATAGAGGAAGCATGTCGTGTCCAATAATCGTGTCAGACACCAATACTCTTCAAACACTTCTAAAAGCATGTTTGACACCTTTTCAATGTGTCTTAATTAAAAATTCAAATTCATCATATCAAACACTTTATTGAAACTTCACAAATACATTGGCAATACTTCTTAAACTCTCTGAACAGGTCCTCTGTGGTGAATCTCTTTATAATAACAATATTTTGTATTCTTCATAACACAATTTATGAACTCTAAACATGTTTTACAAAATATATACATCATGTGTATTATAATGTTGTTTTATAATTGTTTTGCATTCTTTAGAATGTAATTGTTACATGAATGATGTCATGATGTTTAAGTTATGAAATATATGCTTGTTAATGTAATTAGTGATATGTTACATGTTTTTCATGATCTTTGAATAAATTATTCATATACATGACATAATAAATTTGTTTCAACCTAATTTTTTTTTGAAAATCCACGAATACAATCATTTCTAATTTATAATCTCATCTCACCTATACTCATTTTATTCACATGTTATTTATTAGTTGCCCACCAGTTTTCAAAACCAAAACAAAATAATAAGCTTAATCATGCAGTGTAATTAAAACCAACCTGCTGTCCTGTAATGTAGACATTATTTTCCTTGAACTGGGCTGCAGCAAGATCCTCATTGGCAGTTGAGTTTCCGGCTGTTGAAGCAGTACTGGGATTATAACCAGCTGGGGAGGAGCCGTATGGTCCATAGTTTCCCACCACTCCACCATGGGTGGAGTTTCCCGTATTACTTCCCACTTTGTATTGTGAAAGTGAATATTTAGCAGTAGCCCCTGGAGGAGCCGGATATATGCCGCCAGCCTGGGATTGCTGAGGGAACGCACCGTTGCTTAAAAATTGATGGATGGCCGGAGGGGGAACATAAAAAGGCGAGAAATAATGACCATATGGAATGTAGTTTGGAGGATAATGAGGTATAGGCATCCCTGTAGGCTGTCGAAAAACGGGGAGCGGTTGCTGTGTTACGGCTATTGAGCTCTGCACAACCCCACCAGCTTGAGTCACATGAGGAGTTGGACCTGCCATAGACAAAACCATAGAATTCCCACCCTGCAATTGGACATATGTAAGCATTAGAAATGTGCATGAAGATATTAAAAGATAAGGCTCTGTTTGGTTGTGAATGCAAATCATGATTCCACACCTTAATTCAAGTATGGTGTTTGGTTAGTGTTCTCAAACGATGATTCCAAAACTCTGCACAGAACACCTGCGGGCCAGGGGAAGACCACGCGGACGTCCTTAGGGACTACCGCCCGGACGTCCATGGGGACATCCACCTGGATGTCCTCTGCTGTACAGGAATTTTTTTTTTTTTTTTTTTTTTTTTGCAATTGATTTATATAATCGAAAAAAACATTTTCTGAAATTTTAAAAAAAATTCATGTACTTTAAAATAATTTTGAGTTGTATGTTTAGTTATGAGTTGTACATTTTTGTATCACATATCAAATGTCACATCAACAATTCCCCACTCAAATCAGAACTCTTTTCAAAACTATTTTCAAAACTCTTTACCAAACAAATTTTCTACACTCAAATCATAATTCCACAACACACAAACTCAAAATACAACCCATACTCTCAAATCACATTTATAAAACTCTACCAAACGCTACCTAAATTTCTAGTACACATTTAATGCATATAAATCTCTTACACACTAAATAGAGAAACCAATATAATTTGATCAAATCCTTTTACTCCTGTAAATGTATTTTAATGTTGTTTTTTTTTTTAAAAGTGCACAAAACATATCAGAGCACGAGAGCTTGCAGAGTTGATCCAAATGATTCCCACAAGATGCTTCTTAGTAAGGAGAAAATGTAATCCTCAAACTCAACCAACTATATTTCTAGGCTTCATGACCAACAACAGAGCAGGCATAACCAAATTCAGATTTTTAAAAACAAAAAACACCAGAATATAAAATGTTAGGAGCACCTTCAAAAGTTTAGCGAAGCAAAAGGAAAGGACATTCTCAAAAGAGAAAATGTCATAGCATTCCTTAAAAGCTAAAAAGATTGATTACTATCAACCAGTGTTTTTTAAGGCGAAAAGCGAACTGAGGCGACAATGTCTCCTAACGCCTAAGCACGAGGCGACGAGGCGAGGCGACGAGGCGACGAGGCGAGGCGACGAGGCGAGGCGAGGCGAGGCGAGGGCTTCATCGAATCGAGGCGACCACAAACGATAATTTTTTAAAATAAATAGTATAGACAAAAATATAAATATTTTCGAAAACCATCATGCATTTATCATTCCAAATAGACAAAAATATAAATATTTTCGAAAACCATCATGCATTTATCATTCCAAATACTATATATCCATATCCAACAAAAATATAAATATTTTCAAAAATCATCATGCATTTTTTTTTTCCCCCCAGTCAATTCTTCTTTCTGGGTAGGGTATGCATTAATAATTAAAATAAAGAAATTTGAAATTTAACATAAGAAATTTTTTCAGCAAAATAATTAAAATTTCAGCAAAATAATTAAAAATTTTCAGCAAAATTAATTGAAATTTTTTCAGCAAAATAATTATACAATTAACACAGCAAAATAATTAAACAAATTAAAATAACTAGGAAAAAAAAAAAAAAGGGGGTCCGACAGTGTTCTTGAAGACGAAAAAAAAATGAAGAAAGGAAGAAGAAAAGAAAAATGAAGAAAGGAAGAAGAAAAGAAGGTGAAGAATCAGCGGCAGCAGGAGAGGACGAAGGGAAAAAAGGAGAAAGGAAGAAGAAAAGCAGGAACTCACCTCTGATAATCAACTGGAACGATGTCCGAAGAAGGAAGAAGAAGACCCAGGTGAAGTCGACTTAGGGTATAACTTTCAATGTCGACTAGAACAAAGCCAACTTAGAGTTTCGACTTCTTATTTAGTAGAAAACAATTATAAGGTGCAAAGCATGTCCACAAATTGCACAAAAGTCATCCAAATGAAGAGCCCAGATCATTCGAATTGAAATCAGGCAAAATCTAGTGAAGCGTCACTTCGTATCGCCTCTCGCTTCATCGCCTAAGCCTCGCTTCATGCACTTCTCCTTCGCCTCACCATTTCGCCTCGCCTCAGTGTGTATGAAGCGCTACACCCTCGCCTCGCCTCGCTTAGCGCTTAGGCGCACCTTTGATAACACTGCTATCAACCATGCCAAAGCTTAGTTCAGCAGCAAATTTGATGTGTAGCAATATTCACCCCATTAATATCTGCTCCAATCAGTGAATAATCTTATTACACTTTAAAAAGATAGAACAACGTATGATCCAGGCAATCAATTTGATTTTTCACCAATTTAAGTAAAACTCTTTAACTAGTTGCATGTGTATTCAGATCTCCTACGTGATGAGCCATGATGGATCCACATCATGTTGCTATCTCAAATACTTGGGTTCCACACGTAAAACCTCCTTCAGTGAAACATAGACCAACCACAACTCCATATGCTCCTCTCCAGGGTATCAGGCATAATGCATTTTCCACTAAGGCATTTCTAGAGCTGCTCAAGAAGACACACTCGCAACAAAGCCCTTCTGCTTGAGATCTAGGGCCAGTAATCCAAGATTGCTTTGCAACACCCCCTCAGCTCAACCAGAGATTCTTCACTCTAACGTATCACCTCTGCGAGTGGGGATTGAGATCAACAAACGTGTTACTCGAAACATATTATTCAAGCTTTTAGAACAGTCATGAAGCTTACGAGGGAAAGCCATGAGATCTTAAATATTGTGGCCTGCCTTTCTACTTTGTTCACAAATAGTCTAGGGATGTGAGATTCCCATGGGAGTGTGGGACAAGATTCCCACACAGTTTGGGAACCTTGTGCTGCCTTGAATGGCTAACTATAATAACTTCCCATATCTACCCACCGAAATGACAGAATGAAGGAGATATGAAATAAGATTCCCACTACTCTACATTCCCTCCATCCAAACATAAAATAAGTACACCTTCATGATAAGTATCTAGGAGTTCTTGTATATGCTTAAGAGAATTAAATTCTATTGGAACTATACTTCTGACCTGAAGCTCTCCTGAACAATTTCTTATATCATTAACGAACCAAAATATATATACGACATGAGATACAAGAGATGTGCGTCGTGGACAAACATATGTAACATATGTATCACATCATAACTACAGATAATGACAGTGTACAGGTTTTTGTCACCCAGAAAAACAAATTCTCCTACATGTAAGGCAGAAAGACATCAGCAGCACATTAACAAGTCCAGAGATTCGAAAGTTGTAAACAAAATTAGCATGGTACTCACCGAACAGACAATATATATATATATATATATATTTTGGATAAATAAGCAAATATTATTGAGAAAACATTAAGATGATGCAACAAATACAGGGAGACCACCCCAGATTGGGGAGACCCCAAAAATAAAACAAGTGCTAACCAATCACCTCATCTAAAAAGTCTAAAAGCACAAATAGATCCAGATCCACCCTACCCTCCAACCAACTATACATAACTAAAAGAACCAACTATACATAACTAAAAGAAGGCAATTCTGTAACCAAGAGACACCATGAAGAACCTCTAAAAAGGTGCGTCTATTCCACTCCAACCAAACTAGCCACATTAAACAGAATGGTGCCAATAACCACACCCGCCGACGTTGACGCCGAGCCGGACGCCACGCCAAGCCCAAAGCAAATCCAACACCCCTTTCGGTTGAACCGAAACAATCCCAAAAAGTGAGCAAACGAAACCCCACAAATACGAAGCCACTGAACAATGAAGAAACAAATGGTCCACCGACTCAGCATCATCACAACATATGCAACATTGATCCACTAAAACGTGCCCCCTTTGCATCAAATTATCCAATGTAAGATTCTGACCTAATGTTGCCGTCCACATGATAAAGGCGACCTTAGACGGAACCCCCGGAACCCAAATACTTTTCTATGGAAAGATCCTACTACAATTCCCCACTAAACCCCAATAAAATGATGCTACTGTGAACCGTCCCTTTGCCCCCACCCCATTCCACACCATGACATCTTGTCCAACCCCAACAGTCCCCAAACCATATAAAAAATCCCACAACTCCACCAACTGATCAACCTCTCAATCTTGGACCTCCCGCCGTAATTGAATATCCCAAACCACCGCACCTCCACCTCCCATATAAGAAGCCACCGGAGCATCCCGATCCGTCACATTATGAAAAATCAAAGGAAAACGAGTCTCCAACACCACCTCCCTACACCACCTGTCTTTCCAGAACCTCACCCTAATCCCATCCCCCACCTTAAACCCTATCCACTTCCAAAACTCGACCCTCCCCAGCCAAATCCCTTTCCATAACCCACACCCATAAGTACAAGACACATCCCTCGAAACCCAACCCCCTCTTCCCACCCCATATTTAGAAGCCATCACCTGCCACCACAATCTGTCATTCTCCAAAGCAAAGCGCCATAACCACTTCCCTAGCAAAGCTCTATTGAAAATCATCAACCTCCTCACCCCCAAACCACCAGCCTAACAGATCCGTCCCCAATCAACCAAGTGATACCTAAAATCATCACCACCACTACCCCACAAAAAGTCCATTTGAAGCTTCTCCACCCATTGCGCCACTGACACTGGTATAACATGAACCGACATGAAATAAGTCGAAATACTACTCAGCACACTCTTAATCAAAGTCAACCGGCCGCCTTTCGAAAGATATCGGCACTTCCAACCCGCTAATCGACATTGAACGCGTTGCACTACTCCATCCCACACCCCTTTCGCCTTAAAAGAAGCCCCTAACGGCAAACCCAAATATGACACCGGCAAAACCGAGACCTTACACCCCAACACCGCTGCCATAATGGGCAACCTATCAACCTCCCCAACTAGAATAAGCTCCAACTTCTGCAAATTGACCCGAAGGCCTCAAAACAAAGCAAAACACATCTCAAATAACCAACTTGCTCCGCTTCCGCCTCACAAAAAATCAAAGCATCATCCGCATAGAGCAAATGCAATACCCTAATAGGATTCCCAACCAACGAACCCACAGCAAATC